TTATTGCATACCAAATCACAGTTTGCTGAAATCATTCAAGTTAATGTAATTTAATGGAATTTATGATGGCAAAATTATTAGTTTGAAGTCGATTCAATATGATAATATTGAAGATGAATTACTTTAAAATTTCGTATATAATCATTTTTTCGTACTCTAGAAATCTTTTTATCATTATTAGTTAAACAAAATTTAATTTCTAAAATAAATTTCATAGGGAAGAATAGAGGAATACCAGCTTTGACGGAGGCATCAGCCTGAGGGATATTTCTTGCCATTGAAGCGAGCAATGCAATGCTATGCTCCGCCGCAGCTACGGTGTTAGCCGTCGGCGCATTTACCACCAAGCAACCTAACTCCGTCGCAGCTTGCAGATCCACATTGTCAATCCCAACTCCCGCTCTTCCCACGACTTTCAGTCTCCCTTTCGCCGCCTCCATCACCTCCCGGCTCACCTTCGTCCCGCTCCTCACGATCAGCGCGTCGCACTCCGAGATCTTCGTGCATAGCTCCTCTGGTTTCAGATCGTACGCACACTCCACCTCTCCGAAGCCCCGTAACAACTCCAATCCCTTCTCTCCTAGCTTCTCCGCCACCAAAATCACCGGTCGTGTCCGTATCTCATCTTTCACCTTCTGCGGCGATTGCAGGACCGGCGATTCTGTAGTTTTCACTGCGTTCACTGTTAATACAGTCCGTTTTGAAAGATGATGAGCGGTCAACTTTCGGAAAAGCGCCGAGGATGAGTTGGTAGGGAGGAAGGGGAGACGAGATGAGGAGGAGGAGGAGGAGGAGGAGGTGGCGGAGAGGGAGGAGAAAATGGAAGAAGCAAAGAAAGAAGAAGAAGAAGAAGCAGCCATTGTTGTCTGATTGGATTTGTTTTGTGTTATGCACCTCAAAAGTTATTGGAATGGTGTGTGTATTAATAGGAAATTGAGCCCCAAGTTTTTAGAGTAACTGGAGGCAAATATGTCAACCACGCCTCTCTCGTTCGTTACTACATTTGTCCTTTTGTCTCCCCTAAATCAAACCCAAGTAAATTCAATTTCTCCAAATTAAAAATGTAAATATATTTAAATACTAAAATTATTTACTCATTTTAGGATTGTACAAAAAATAAAAATAAAAATTATCGAGAATTGTTGAATTCGATCAGAAAATAAAATAGTTTAGGTTCGGATCATCATCGCAGGCCAAATTAGTAATTTACACTATGAGTAGGTTTCAGAATTAGAAATTAAACATTAATTTTAAAATATTTGTAGTTATTTATGTTATAATTAAATTACTTTGTAGAATTGTTGAATTTGCTAACTTAATTAATCAATTAACTAAATAATTTTTTATTGGTTTCTAATCTTAATCAAATATATTAAATGTATATACATGTA